GGGGGGGGGGGGAGGGAGGAGAGAGAGAGAGAGAGAGAGTGAGTATGACCTCATATCGAACACTTGCAGGTCTTTTTCTTCATCTTCATGTATGTAGAGAGAGGGCTCCTATCGAACACTTGGAGTCGTCTTCATTATTTTCTTCTCCTTGTATATATAGAGAGAGAGGCCTCACATCGAACACCGGAGGTCATCTTCTTCTTTTTCATATTCTTCTTATATGTATAGTGAGAAGATATGGGTTCGTGAGAGAGAGAGAGGCCTCACATTGGACACTTGGAGGTTGTCTTCTTTTTCATCTTCTTATATGTAGAGAAAGCATATGGGTTCATGTGTGTGTACGTGAGAGAGAGAGAGACCTTGCATTGAACACTTGGAGGCTGTCTTCTTTTTCTTCTTCTTCTTATATCTAGAGAGAGAGAGAAAGCATATAGGTCTATATGTGTGTGTGAGAGAGAGAGGCCTTGCATCGAACACTTGGAGGTCGTCTTCTTTTTCTTCTTTAGAGAGCATATATGTATTGAACATTTGGAGGTTGTCTTAATTTTTTTCTTCGTATGTGTAGAGAGAGAGCATATGGATCCATGTGTGTGTGAGAGAGGCCCATCGTATCGAACACTTTGAGCCTTTGGCTGAGGGCCTTTTTCTGGCCAAGGGCTCCATCGGACCACCTAGGTGGCCCTAGGGCACCTAGGTAGGGGCCCTAGTACCAAACCTTTGGTTCGGAATGGCCCTTGGATCGCCTAGATGCCTATGCGGGTGAATTTTCATTCACAGGGTAAAAACATTTTTTCATAGTATATTTTCACTACTTTTAATTCTGTTTGTGGTTTCTTGGGGGTCTAAGTCATAGTCTATAAATAGATGTCGATAGAGGGTTTTAGATTCGGAGTTTGGGTATTATTGTTTTTGTGAATCTTCGTTTAATTGGAGGTCACTGTGAAGCTTGATGTGTAAGCTTCCCTCAACTTCCATTTGAATTTTCAGATCTTTGCATTGATTTCTTCTTTATTGTTAATTCATTTTGCAGCATACATGTAATAATTCAGTGATTGGACTATATTGGTATTTAAGAAGATAGGTGAAAGAGATGGGAGTTTATAGTAATTAACTAAATATCACCAATTTATGTTCTTCTTTGTTCTCGTGCATCCTCATGATTGGATTATGGTTTTTGTGTAAATAGGTGTCATTAAGGGGAGCAAGTGCTAAGGAGATAACAAGAGATGCCCTTCTTGAAAAAGTCTCTAGGGAAAGAGAACTCCGAAACCATGCTAGAAGGACGGGAGCTGCTGCTTTGATCATTCAGGTGATTATTGCAAGTATCGAGGATACATGCCTGTTGATTGATATATGGGTCATGTCATGATAGCAACATTGAGTCTTGAACATATAACTATTTATGTTCCCTTATTTTTATGTAGTGTTATATTTTAGAGTTTGGAGAATTTGTCTTTATGTTCATATTAAGTTAAAAGAGTTGGCTTGAAGTATTATCCTTCTTCTTGGAAATGCCTATAATTTTGTTTCTGAGGTCTGAAGCCTTTGTATAAGTGTTATTTAAAAAGTCACTTCATCATCATCATCCGAGCCTTATCCCAACTATTTGGTGCCTGTTATATGAATTCTGTTCAGTCATTCTGCTGTATCAAGGGCTATACCCATAGTGAGACCGTAAGTCACCATACCTCTTCTCACTACTTCTATCTATATTCTTTCGGGCCTTCCCCTTGTCCTTTTAGAGCTTTCTATTTCAACCAAATCGCCCTTACTAACTGTGCATTCCATGATGAATCATACTGAGCCGAATATTTTTCATGGTCACTGTGCATTCCTTTTAAAGATTGCTTTTGAAAAGTGTTCTGCTCATTTTGTTCAGTACAAGGACATATAATATATATAATAGCACTGGAATAAGATCAATATGCGTACATAAAAATTACTGAGTTGGTTGGTTGTTATATTGACAATGGTCTTTCTTTATCCAAATGAATTGACAGCTAGGCAGTGGCTGACCCAAAATCTCCATATCACTTATTGACCCAAAATTTTTATTTGTTTCGAATGAATTTCTTTTTGTGGTATATTACACCAATAACCCTGTTTCTTTATTTTTTAGAAAATTTGGAGGAGGTACAATGTGATGAAAATGGTCGCTGGCCAACTCCAAGATAATTGGGAAACCTTGATGAGCTGTGATGGAGCTTTGAGGACAGCTAAATGGGTCTCCAATGATTTGTTGAGACCTTTCCTTTTCTTTGCCACGCGTTCATCAACTTTGCATCATGAGATACAACTCAGAGACATCAAGTGTATTCTAGTGTGTTTTAAACTTCTGCTTCAAAGCATTAACTCAACTGGTATTCTACACATTTCCTTTCTTTGTAAGACCGTTGCTTGTTACCTAGTTGTGAAATGGTATTACAAACTGGTATGCACTTTTTGGGGTTTTACATTCAACGTAACAGATATGTGTCTGTCTGCTAAGTACTTAAGTTTTCTTTACGTACCTGTTGCTTGTTATTTAATTTTATCTAATCTGAGGCTGCAAAACATTTTTGCATCCACATAAGCTCCTCGCAGAATTGAACTTTGTTTGGTTGTGTTAAAGCCTGGAGCCGAGTTGTTGAATTAAATTAATGTGAAATTGACTGCAGCCAAACATTGTAAAGGGAAAAAACTTGGTGCTGGTAAAATGGCTGGGGTTCAATCGGCATCTAAGTTAGGTCTATATCGGTTATTAACAGCTTTTTCCATACTGTTTACTTATATAAATTTGAATCCCATATGACATTGAACCACTTGTTTTCCATTGAGATTTTCATCTGAGAATGGTTGACCATTATGTCATTACACAGCATTCCAATTAGTACTAAATGCTTGGTCTTACATAATGCTTCAGGTGATACATATTTCAACCTACTACACATGCATGCATTACATGAGCATGCACGATATTTTCCTTTTGTTTTTCTGTAGAATTTTTAGTACTGATTGTAGAAAGTAATGCCTGAGGTAAATTGATTAGAGAAATATAGAGAGATTGCAGGTACGCCAAGCACTTGACCCATTTGACCATTTATTGGGCTAGAGAATGTGTCTTATTAGCTTCCTTAATAGTATGTTTTGCAAGTATCTATCCATAAATGGACCAGATTTAAAACAACAGGTTTGACACTTCTAAATGCCAGTGGCTTTAATTGGCGTAGAAGTTCATAAAATTGGTCAAATTTTAATGAGTATCATGAACCTCATGGTGAGTATGGGATATGGCTTACTCCAATATAGCTCTCTACATTTGGCTTATGCACTGGATGTGAAACAATCTATTGTTTTTTGCTATTCCATGATGATATCATCATCATCATTATCTTCCAAACCTTTTTCCAACTATTTGGAGTTGGCTACACAAATTTTGTTCCGGCATTCCGCTATTAAGGGCTATACCCTCAGTCTGACTATAAGTCATTATATCTCTTCTCACTACTTCCATCCATGTCCTTTTGGCCATTCCCCTTGCCCTTTTATAACCTTCCACTTGGACCATATCATCCCTCCTAACCATTACATTCCATGATGATATCATACTTAGCAGAATACTTTTCTGGTCACGGTTTTAGGTAGCTTTGTTTTTATTTTGTGGTACAGGGTTATTTAATGAGTGATCTTATATTCTTATTTGTGTTACTCCATTTATAATCTTGCTTCCAAAGATGGATATGCTTTTACCATGACACGACTTGCTGATGGATCCAATATCTCTCCTTGTAGATTTGGATAAAAATTTTTGTGCTCTTGCTTTTGGTTCATCTGAGGAGAAGGTTGCTTGGTTTTTTCAAGCTCGCAAAATTATTACAATATGTTCATCTGTTCTCGGCGAATGTGATCATACCACCCTTGATGGCAAGGACAGGATTTTGGCTACAGCTTTGGCTATGCGGTTGATTGTTGCTTTGACCGACCTTGAAGCATGGAAAAAATTCCACCCTCACAAGAATGGAGATACAACTTATGCTGTGAAGGACATAATCAGATTTATAGCAAGTGGAAAAAGTGGTCTTTATTGTTCTATTCGGAATTTCATAGTGAAATTTCTTGCGCCTGCAGGGTTACCAAATAAGAGCATAATGCAAAGAGATGACCAGTTTATTATAACTGCAAGTGCCATAACAATGGCATTAAGACCTTTCCAGTTCATGAAACTTAATGCGGATAATATTGGGAGCATCCACATGTCAGAAGTCAAATTTACTGCTGAGGAGTATTGCATATATTTCTTGACAATCCCTTGGCTGACTGAGCGCCTCCCCGTAGGAATTTTACCTGCTCTGAAGCATGTTACAACTTTGTCATCGTGCTTCAAAACTCTACTGGTAAGCACAACATAAAATCTTTTCCTTTAACTCTGTGTACATGCATAGAGGCATATTGCAGTATTGATTGGCTATGTATAAATTTGGATCTCTCTCTCTTTCATCAAGGTAAAATTGGAGGCTTTTCATTCTACTTCTTTTCTGGTGTGGGATTTTCTTGAGTATTAGTTTATTATATTATATATCATTTCTCTCTATTCATTTGTGCTATATGCTATTATTTTTCTCATGGCTAATTATTTGTTGTTGATATCAAAAACACTTCTGTTGGTTTATACCTGTGGCCATTAGTCATTAATATTTTTGCAAATAGCAGGAATTGAGAATCTGACGAAAGATCTGAATTGTGCTTGCTTTTGTTATCTCCCGCCAAAGTTTTTTGGAATAAGATATTTTTTGGAGATATTGACATGGTTTTAAAGAGTTGTGCACCATGTAATAATGTCTGTCTTCTACATTTTTGTTTGTTTTAACTTAGATTATTTGTTGTATATAATATGGATTATAATTTCACTCAAATGATAACTAACTTAACAATGGCAGGTTCTGGCAGATTGCAAAGGAGAACATTTTTGTTCAGATGTCAAATTTAAATCAACATATGGGAATACCTTCAGCTGCTTGGGCTCTTGCAAACATCATAAACTTGACATCTGTCCATGATAAGGATTGCAGTGATTCTGGGGGGTTTGTCGAGGGCCTTGAATTGAAAGATTATGTCCTGACCGTATGCAGCATCTCAGACCACTTACTGCCTTGGCTTGAAGATATTAGACAAACAAATAAGAAAGAGAATGATGAAGATATAATACATGGTAATATTGAAGAGCGTGGGGCTTCTGGATATTCTAATGCTCCATTTATAGACCTCTTGAGGCCTGTGCATCAGCAATGGCATCTTACGAGGCTTCTGACCAGCCTGAAGTCGGGTAACTCTTGCATAGAGAAAAACAGTTCATCTGGTTATCAAAGTCTCGAGTGGTTAGAGCAAAAATTAGAAGTGCTTGATATCGTGTTTTTCTATTCTTCTATGCTAAACATATTTTCTTCTCTAAATAAGTTTGGTGGGCCTTTGCCAATACTTAATATACTTGCATTCACTCCTTCATTTATTCCAATGTTATGGCTAAGGCTGGAGAGCTCTATCATGCCTGAAGGCAGTCCCTTTGCAAATACATATAATCTATCAAGAATGTCTGAAGCTTCTCAGAATGAGAATCAGGGAATTCAGATGAAGAAGGAAGAGCGAGTCATGAAAGATACAGGAAATAAATGGGCTTCTGTATTGCAAAAGATCAAAGGTAAGTCATCCACAGATGAGAATGTTACCAGGTTATGCAAAGACCCACTTGATTTTGATAGTAATCTGGATGATGCTTCCGATATTTGGGATATTGAACCTTTGAGGAGAGGTCCACTTGGGCTTTCTAAGGAAACTTCACAAGTGATGCATATGTTTTGTGCGACATATGCACATCTCCTATTGATTCTGGATGATATTGAATTCTATGAAAAGCAGGTACGGTTTTTTCTTTCTCATTTCCTAGAATGGTTTATCTTTGTAGAAATATGCCCTTAATTTTGTTTTTACCTATTTGTAATTTGTATGTAGGTGCCATTTGCTATTGAGCAGCAACGAAAAATTGCAGCTCTACTCAATACATTGGTGTATAATGGTTTTCTCCATAACAATGGGCAACAAAATAAGCCTTTAATGGATGTGGCTGGAAGATGTCTACTCTTGTTGTATGAGAGGGATTGCAGGCACAAATTTTGTCCAACTTCATTGTGGCTTGCACCTGCTAGAAAAAATCGGCCACCTATTGCTACGGCGGCTAGAGCTCATGAAGCTGTAATAACTGGCATGCGAATTGGAGATGCAGCAGCTATACCTAGCATGGGATCTCTCATCACTACTATGCCACATGTATTTCCATTTGATGAAAGGTATTCTATGCCTAGCTTTCTCCTACTTGTCATTTTCTCGGACCGGCATTAGCAAATGAAGTATAAGGTCCTGCCTTATTCTCAATGAAATTGTTTGATTGGCCTTGAAAACATGCATATCTTTTGTTACCAACAGTAATGGGTTTGGAATTTCTTAACTAATACCTCTATTTGGCAGGGTTCAGATGTTTAGGGAATTCATTAAGGTGGACAAAATCTCACGAAGAATGGCAGGTGAAGTGGCAGGACCTGGTCCGGGATCAATAGAGGTAGCAGTTCGTCGCGATCATATTGTGGAAGATGGATTCAAGCAACTCAACTCTCTTGGGTCGAGATTGAAGTCTTGTATCAATGTTTCGTTTGTTAATGAGTTTGGCCTTCCTGAGGCTGGCCTGGACTATGGGGGTTTATCAAAAGAGTTCTTAACGGACTTGGCAAAGGCCGCCTTTGATCCTCAGTGAGACTTTTAATCCTTTTTCTTTTTATACTTTTGTTTTCTTTTGACCTTCAAACATTGTTAGCTTTTGAATTCATTAAGCAAAGGTTTCCCATATTGCTTCCTCAGGTATGGACTTTTCTCTCAAACTTCAACTTCTGAAAGACTTCTGATTCCCCAGACAACAGCAAGGGTGCTCCAAAATGGCATGCAGATGATTGAATTCCTTGGGAGAGTTGTTGGGAAAGCACTTTATGAAGGAATATTGCTCGATTATTCATTTTCACCTGTTTTTGTGCAAAAGATATTGGGCCGCTATAGCTTTCTTGATGAACTATCAAGTCTTGACCCTGAACTGTACCGAAATCTGATGTTTGTAAAGGTAAAATGTGTGTATTCATTGTAAATTATGTCTTGCAACATGTAGGCGACTTGCGGTTTTCAATCCTATAACTGCCTCCTATTTTGTAATAGCATAATTAATATAAAATTCCTTGAGCCAATTTTGAATATGTTGGTTCACGTTGAAGGTTTTGAAGGATATTAATAGTTGGGATTGGTTACTTATTAAATTGTGCAGCACTCTGTGACAGAAGTCATCCCCTGGAATAAAAGTGTAAATCTGAAGAATTTTAAAATTACCCATATCCCCAGCAAGCATTGAAGAGTATGTCTTCTGTTCATATATATGATGCAGTGGCAAATGTTAGATCTGATATTGATATTGATGTATTTGACAGGAAAAACCATATTACACTATTTAAAAATGGCTTGTTTGAGCTGTTATAATCTAGAATTGCAAGGGGTTCATTCATGGAGTTCAACAGATATTTAGAGGATTGATGAGTATGGGGGTTTCTTTCTCAACTGGACATGGCTATGGATATCATAACCTTTTCTGTTAGAGGAAAATAAAGGATGTCTTGATTCAGAAAAAGAAAAAAAGAAAAAAAAGAAAGAAAGAAAGAAAGAAGACAATGACATGGTTTTCTGTTAACTGTTTGGATTAAATACAATGTTTTCTTTCAATTTGTTCGGCCTTCTTTTCTGTTTTATTTACTGCAATAGCTGGTTTGTTGCTTCAGCATTTTGAGGGTGATGTTGGGGAGCTCGCCTTAGATTTCACAGTTACTGAGGAGAGGCTTGGTGAACGAGTTATCATTGAGCTGAAGCCTGGTGGTGCAAACATTAGTGTCACCAATGAGAATAAATTGCAGTATGTTCATGCAGTTGCAGACTATAAACTTAACAAACAGGTATGGTGCCTTTTCAAGTGCATGTGAGTTGTGGTTTTCATACATCTATGCTTTGTTTTTATATTGTTGTGGGATAATTTTATCGTCATAAGTTCTAAACTTAAAATAAAACAAAGATTTAACCTATTTGCTGTTGTACTGCAGATATTGCCATTAGCAAATGCATTCTATAGAGGCCTGATAGATCTTATCTCACCACCCTGGTTGAGCTTATTCGATGCAAGTGAATTCAATCAGGTTGGTCCTAATAGATTGCCCTATGTCATGATGCATATGCCTCATGAATAGATTAGTTTTCATGCTGAATAAACTATTGATAGCTTATTTAATTTATTAGATCATGCAGCTGTTTGGATTCTTCAAGGTTCTTTGCATATTAAACAGTTAAGTTTATACTAGATTATTACTGGGTGTTTTTCATTATGATGTTGGTATGTTAAGGTTGGATATTTTGATTGATCCAATCTGTTATTCTTATTTAATTACCGTCTAGGGAGCTCTGCTGTCTTTTTCTCTTTCTGTTTTCATATTATTTCGGGTTTTGACTAGACATCCTCAACCTTCTTTCGTTTGTTTTTTTTGGTTTTTTTATTGGAACAAGGGCCTTCTCTTTTAGAGTTTTTTATATTGGTCAGTATGATGTATTTGTTGTTTATTGAAAGTAGTATGAAGTTTGGCCATTGGATGAATGATAGAAATTCCCCTTGCACTTGATTAAATCAATGCAGACAAAATAATAGCAGGGCAAGCACTTCTGTAACCATTATATATTGATGGGAAACAACAGAAAAAAAAGGTAATTATAGTCATATCAAGGGGAAATAACAGTATAAAAAGATAATATAACATATATGGAATATGATTACCTACCTGATGTAATTTAAAATGTATTCACGAATTTGTGATGGCATATCTTTCAGTCCTCGTTTGTTTTTCTGGGTGTATTTTGGCTTCAGAGTTTTTTATTTTTTGTTTTTTTCATGTGACCCTGTTTTTCCACATTGTAGAAAATGTTGCCAGGTCTTTTGGGGGCCATGTTTTGTCCTCTAATAACTCATTTTAATATGATATTATGATGCTTCTGAAACATGCACTTTCTGAATTCTAATTCGCTATTTGGAATTTGAAGATATGATCGAGCTCATTTGTTGTCGCTTTGTTGTTTTTCTTTCGTTATTTTCTTTCTTTAATGTTTTGCTGATTTATTTATTGCTCTTTGTAGTTGCTTTCAGGTGGAGAGCATGACTTTGATGTTGATGATTTGAAAACTCATACACGCTATACAGGTGGCTATTCTGAGGGAAGCCGTACAATTAAACTATTTTGGGAGGTAAGATTTGTTATGATGATTTTTTATCGAAATTGCATGATTGGATTTTCTTTTCCCTCATTTCCAAGTATTGTTTTTATCTTCAGTCACTTACATTTTATATGTCCTTATAATGATGGAAAGCAGTTGCTAAAAGCCTGTTTAATAATTAGGGCCAATTTAATGCTATTTCTGTTAATGTCGTGAGTTTGTACGATCTACAATACCATGTCACCACTTGGGTATTGTACTATTTGTATTCTGTCAAGCTTAGAGACTGGCTTTAGTAAAAATATGACTCTGGATTTTGTTGGGTTTGAAATGCTACACCCCATGTGCTCCTCCAGATCCTCACTTGCCACAACCTAGCCCCCTGCCCCACCCTCCCCACCCAACACACAGAGACTCACGCACACACAACGCACCCCACACACACAATTACAAGCTAGTCGAATCAAAAGCAACATATGGAAAACTTATATGCTTTCCCCTATCCAACTGTCCATTCTGACTGGACGGCTGAGATAGCCCCAATCAGATTGTCACATCTATAAATTATTTTATTTTTAATTTCTTTTACAAACCATTTTACCAAATTTTGGGCGTCTACTCCTCTCTTAAAGTCCCTGTAAAAAATATTCTCAATAAAATAAAATGACCAAAATACCCCTGAAAGTTTCAAGGGGTATTTTGGTAATTATATTTTATCGAAAAATTGTTTTTAATATTTTGTTTAGGTGTGCCCCATTGAGATGATGGCACGTACGAAATTTCATATTCATATAATTTGTAGAAAAAAACTAAAAATAAAATTACTATGAGGTGTTTGATCTAGATCAAAAGGTCAGTGGCTCACTTGATCTAATTAGACGGCTGGATAGGGGGAGAAGCATATATTTTTTATGCAGTAGGGGAAGTATACCTTTCTCCCATTTATAATAGACACCAATGTGTGTATGTGAAATGTCAACATTAAGTACTCTGTACCTGAACAGTTTAACATTCTCAGAAAAAATGTACCCTGTACCTGAAGTTAGCCTTAAAAAAAATCCACAGCATGTAGACCATTATTTGATACAACACTTGCACCTTCCTTCTGAGAATTTTTTTCTATGGTCAATCTTGATGGTCCCAAACTCCATAAATCTGGCTTGATCACATTATCTTTTGCATATTTTTTTCGGTTTTTATGCTGTTACCAAATATTAGAGTTGCAGGTTGTGAGAGAATTTGAGCCTAGAGAGCGGTGCCTGTTGCTTAAGTTTGTTACAAGTTGCTCGCGTGCTCCATTGCTAGGATTCAAGCACTTGAAGCCAGCTTTCACTATTCATAAAGTATGTGGTTAATTCGTTATTCACTTAATATTTATTGGTTATTAGTTGCATTCAGCTCTATATCTCAGTTCTAATAATCCTGATGAAATCTGCACGCGTGTGTGTATGTATGTGTGTCTCTGTGTGCACTTGCGCGCCGTGTGTGTGTGGAATAAGCAATACTCATGCAATGTCTGATGTGTTATCATCAGTTAGTAGAGCTCAATGGCATGTGTCCTGTGGTTAATTCTGTGAATACCGCCAAGGCACAAGAATGGATGAAGTTCATCCCTTCTAGTGATTAAAAAAATATTTGTTATCGTACATAGCTTTGAACTTCCAACAAACTATCTTTGGTTGTTTATAAATTAAAAATTCATTTTATGAAACCATTAAAAAGGAAGCAAAATTTCCCCGTTTCACACTGTTGCTCCCTGCGAGAGGAGTCTCCTTTGTGAGTTTTTTCAACTTGACTATTTTAAAATGATATAGTACCTTATTTGTCCAATTCTTTTCCAACTTCAGCTTTAGTGGTTGAGGGAAATCAATGGATGGCGAGCGATTTCCTTAAAATTCGTCCTTAATGGTTAAGGGGACATTATTAGTAGGATTAGTGTCACTGAGTGCTGATGCTTTAAGGGCCCGTTTGGATCCCTAGATTTTTCAATCTTGGGAAAAGTCAATCCTGGAATTGAGATTTTCTGGAAATGTCGAGTCTCTTTTTGGATCGCGTTTGGTAGAAATCAAGAAAATGCAAATTCCTTGTTTGGATTGTCTGGAATATCTTTTTCTTGGAAATGCAAATTCTCTCTCTCTTAAAATTTTGATATAGTTTCTTGCTAAAATTGTGATACTCTCTTTCAAAAACTTTAAAATTTGAAGTAGTTTCTCTCTCTAAAAATTGTATACACTCTTTCTCTAAAATTTGATATAGTTCCTCTCTCTAATATTTTGAGATAATTTCTCTCTCTGAAACTTAAAATTTGAGTAGTTTCTCTCTATAAAAATATTGAGATAGTTTTTTTCTAAACAATTTCATATATTTTTTCTTTCTAAACAATTTCAGATAGTTTCTTTTTCTAAAGGAAAAAGTTAGCGTAGGCCCACTAGCCTACAGCTACATATGAGCCAAACAGTCCAGATTCAATTTGGGCCGATCCAATGATCATGATTGCATTTCATATTTGAATTTAAATTTTTTTTCTATAAATCCAAATCACTTGAAATTTTGAGCGTGTGTTTTTTAAAAATAAGAGAATCTAATAAAAATATCAAAAACATAATTTGTAAAAAATATATTAACAAAAATATTTCAAAACTTATCAAGGTATTTTGATCAATTTATATTTTACGAATTAGTTTTTTAATAATTTTATTAGATGCACCTTGATGAGAAGAATAAACGTCTAAAATATCATGTGATTTGGATTTCTAGAAAAAACATTAAAATTAAAATACGAAATGATATTGTGACCGTCAGATCGGCTCAGATTTAATTTGAGCCGTTGGGCTCATATGTAGTTGTAGGCTAGTGGGCCTGCACCAGCTTTTTCCTTTTTTAAAATATGATATAGTTTCTCTCTCTAAAATTTTAACGTACTTTCTCTATCTGAAACTTAAAATTTGAGATAGTTTCTTTCGAAAAATTTTAAGATAATTTCTCTCTAAGAAATTTTAGGTATTATCTCACTCTAAAATTTGATATAGTTACTCTCTCTAAAGTTTTAAGATTTTCTCTCTCTAAAACTTAAATTTTGAGATAGTTTCTCTCTAAAATTTTAAGATACTTTCTCTCTCTCTAAAACTTAAATTTGAGATAATTTTTCTATCTAAAATTTTTTAAATAGTTTCTCTCTCTAAAAATTTTAGGTACTTTCTCTATCTAAAATTTGATATGGTTTCTCTCTAAAGTTTTAAGATATTTTCTCTTTCTAAAACTTAAAATTTGAGATAGTTTCTCTCTCTAACATTTTCAAGTAGTTTCTTTTTCTAAAATTTTAATATACTTTTTCTCTCTAAAACTTAAAATTGAGATAGTTTCTTTTATCTAAAATTATTTAAATAGTTTTCCTCTCTAAATATTTCAAGTCCTTTCTCTATCTAAAATTTGATATAGTTTATCTCTCTAAAGTTTTAAGATATTTTATCTCTCTAAAACTTAAAATTTGAGATAGATTCTCTCTCTATCTAACATTTGATATAGTTTCTAATCGCTAAAATTTGATATGCTCTCTCTAAAACTTAAAATTTGAGGTAATTTCTCTCTCTAAAAAATTTTAACTAGTTCATCTCTCTAAAATTTAATGTAGTATATTCTTTAAAATTTAAGATATGATGCAGTTTCTCTCTCTAAAATTTTAATATGGTCTCCTTAAAACTTTAAATTTGAGATAGTTTCTCTCTAAAACTTTGAGATAGTTTCTCTTACTAAAAAAATTTATATATTTTCTCTCTAAAAAATTTTGTATACTTTTTCTCTCTAAATTTGATATAGTTTCCCTCTCTAAAATTTTAATGTGTTTTCTCTCTTTAATATTTGATATAGTTTCTCTCACTAAAATTTTAATATTTTTTTTGCTCTTCAGCAGCAAAATGGATCATTTCCATGAAAAGTCAATTCCACCTATTTTGGTGGAATTGAGATTTCCAAAATTTAGGCTTAAACGTGCTCCTTATTTTTCTTGGGTAAGGAAAGATTGTACCAAAAAAAATAGTAATGTACATGTTCTAAGTTTCCAGTCAAACTGATACTAGGCTCATACTTTAACTAATAATGCCTCTCATTTTCTTACATATACTATCAAAACTAGCCAAAACCCAATACATTCTCATTTTCCTTATCGCTTAGAAGTTCATATTTGTATGTAGATTTCTGACCAGTTTATTCTTCTTTAGGTTTCATAAAACAATCTATCTTTTTTTCTGGATTTCTTAGAAGTTAATCTGGTTCTCTTTAGATTTAGCTGCCTTTGTTTTTGTCATTAGGTCATATGGCATTCGGGTTTTGCATCCGATGTTCCTTGATATAGTTGCCATCAGACACCTGGAGAACCATCAAAATATTACTTCCGAAGAAAACAAATACATGATAGCTATAATTGAGGGTAAAGCTAAACCTAAAATCCGGCAAAATTTTGGCTGGTTTGGCTTTTTGAAAAAAGAAAAAGATCAAAGTTGAAAATTATGACAGTAAACAGCAAAAAAAAAAGAAGAAATTATGAGAATAATAAAATTTTGATAAATGATTTTTTTTGGAATATAATTCCCAGTAATTTCACCTAGATGGTAAATTTATCAAATTTTATCAATAAAAGATGAACAATTTGTAGCCAACGAATTCAAAAAAGAAATGATGAACAATTTAAATGAAAGTTTTGTGCATTTGTTTTGCATATTAAAGTTTTATTTCCTTACATGGAACTTCTCTCTATTATCTATCTTGTATTTGTTTTGCTCGAAAGTCATCATTTTGGTGGTTTTCCAAGTATCAAATGACAGCTATATCGAGAAACATCAGACGCAAGGCTTGAAGGCTTATCCTTGGCATATGACCTAACAAGAAAAACAAATTGGATGCAATATCTAAAGAGCAATCAGATTGACTTCTAAGAATTCTAGAGAGAAGGATAGATTGTTTCTATGAAGCCTAGAGAGATAAAGAGCATAATAAGCTAGTCAGAAATCTATAGAGAGATATGTGCTTCTAAGCAATCAACCAAGAAGGAAAATGAGAATTTATGGGGTTTTGACTAGTTTTAATAGTATGAGTAAGAAAATGAGAGGCATTATTACTATAGTGTGATCCTACTATCAATTTGAGTGGAAACTTAGACTATCTACATTACTAATTTTTTTTGTACAATCTTTCCTTACCCAAGAAAAATAGTACACAAATAAAATATTATTATAGACACAAATAGAATATTATTAAAAATTCTATATGACAAGCATGTCCTGAAAATGCATTTGAGGAAGGTGCATTTTTTTTTGTGCTAATTTTATTTTGGAAAATAACATTTATAGCAATTCCATTAGAGACAAGGGAATAAAAAGTACGTATCGGGTTTAGTAACACTTAAGATTTGTGCCATCACAACCCTCTGCTAGTTAGAGGAGCTGAAGAATATTTGGAAATAAGTTTAAACGTTAGAAATAGGCATGGTTCCCACTTTCAACACGTAGTCCATGTAATTTTTTAAGTGGACAGTGTGCATGATTTTATTCGCTCTAGGGTCAACCCTGCATCACTAGCTTTAATGATCGATGCTATCAAAGGCCCATATTGTGCCAAACATATATTGTATGTTGTTATTTGCTAAGTACATGGCTGTAATGCATCAACTACGCCACTGTACATTCTGGTATTTAGGTGGTCCCCAGTAGTTTTCCTCGATTTGATAATTTGATTTAAGTTCCAAGTATTTCACTCTTAATGGATGACGATTTACGAGACAGGGAACTAGGCAAGTAAAGAAAGCAGAGAGCCAGATTTCAACTTTTTTTTTTATCTTTTGTCATTTCTTTCTTCATGTTCCTGGTTCTGCACATCTCGAAATTGGTGGTTTTCCTTCTATTCACCACCCACTAAGACCACTAAGAAAGAGCACTACTCGTAATTTCAACAAGGACAACCACAGTTTTGTTATTCCTTTTTCCTGATATAATATGATCAAATAAACCAATGAAAATAGATAGGGGTGAGATTTCTATAAGCCGTCAACTTTAAACAATGAAAGTAAGGGCACACCTCTAAATCTTATTAAAAGATGTATTTCTGGCCGCGGAAACCCTTCCGATGGCCTAAAAATCCATTTCCCCCCTAATTATGAAAAATAAAGCTACAAAGATAGTGTTGACCGCACAAGATCTACAAGCACTTAATGTTTTTGAAAATGAATGGTCTAGAGAATGTGTTACAAAAATCTAGTTTTAGGACTTGGAATTCCTTTTTTTTTGTCTTGACCTTTAGATTTTTGAGATGCAACTTACTTCTATAGTTAAGGTTGACACCTTGTATAAACTTTTTTCAATTGATATATGTATCATTAGATTCTATTTCACATTTGGTGTGCTTTTATAGGTGGCATGTGATGTTCCTGTTTGGGCCATGATTGGAGGACAGGATGTGGATCGCCTTCCATCGGCCTCTACTTGCTACAACACACTCAAGGTTTCTATTGTTCCATGTCATCAATTTTCTTGCATGCCATATTATAAATTATTCTCTCAAGTCTTCTACAATTTGAAAGCCGAGAATGCAATTCAATGGGATTTGGGAAAACCATTGCCTATAGGGTCATCACCATCAAGGAAAATGATGCATGTGATGGCAAGTGGGACCCATTGTTGGGTTCATTTTCTGTTCTGATTGGTCCCTCTCCCACACCACTCCATCTTTCTAATGGATGGTGATGAACTAGTGGACTATTGTTTTTCTGTTTATCCATTGGATTATATTCTGCTTTCTCTAGGCCATACTGCTACTTATCTGGTTTTCACTTAATACACGAATGCACAAACACTAAATTCTAGGCTGCCCTTTCTCGTCTGTTTCGCCCTTTCACACACACACACATATACACAAAAATATGTATAGGCATATAGCTTATAACTTGTGCATTGCATTTTATTCTCGGCAGCTTCCAACATACAAACGTTCCGCTACTTTGCGTAACAAGCTAATTTATGCCATTAGTTCGAACGCAGGGTTCGAACTATCTTGAATGTCTGTATATGATTTCTACTACTTTGCGTAGCAAGCTAATTTATGCCATCAGTTCGAATGCAGGGTTCGAAATATCTTGAATGTCTGTATATGATTTTTCATTATACATGTATTTTCTGCAATTTACTGTTTCCCATGATATTGTGCTCAAGAACACACGGAAATGCTTTCTTCTTGTAAAGTGAAATGTAAGAATGTATATTGACATTGAGAATCGCATGCTTGTAATTAGTATTATCAGTTGAATTAAGCGTGTTGTGTAACTAATGAGGGATCTAGTCTAGTCAAAACCAGTCTGATTGCCAATTGAACCAATTGGATCTGAGTTTTTAAAAAATGTCCGACAGGCCAAAATAGTTAAACATTGTTTTTAATTGGTTTTCAGTCACCCATTGTTTTGGTTTCAACTTGGTCTGGCTAAGGCACTAGTTCACTGTCTTAATCGTATCTTGATAACTATGCTCGTATCTTACATTTGTAACATGCCTTAAAAACTCATAATAAAACAACAGTGTCCTTGTAACCATGGTATGTATTTTTAAATCACAAAGTGGCCTATGTTTCAAACATGATTCATCCTTTGAAGAACACGATGAAATTGCGTAGGAGTGATATGTATTTCCTTGGGAGCTTGCAGTGTGTTTGGAAGGATCATATTTCTATGCACATTGGGTTTTGAGCACGATCTATATGCTGATTGAAGCTGCCTACAACTTTTATCCTATATTCCTATTGTGCTTACAGTCAATCGATGGATTCGATTATCTTTCATGCCATGCTGTCATGTCTCGCATGGACATACCGGTTCTAATATTATCGTATTATAATGAATGGGATTTTTCAATTCATTGAAATATTATTTTCTGAATCTAAGGTGTCATAACATCCATGGCCCTAAATTTTTGAGATTGGGTACCAATTTTTGTGTTTCATTGCATTTCCTTGGATTGGAAAAGCTGAATTTGAGAAGTTAGGTTTTACCATGTTTTCTTCCTCCTATTTCCTCTCCTATAGAAATTAGGGATCTCTTTTTTCTCACTTCTCAAATCTCCAAAGAAGCTTTCAGTGAGCATTTTTATTAGACGGTCCATAAGTGGCCTTTTTGGTTTTTAAATGGAGATCTATAGATCACATTGCCCTTGCATGAAGTGCTTCACACGGACCTCCTCCTTTTTGGGAAATTTATGAAGAACACATTTAAAAGATCCACTATTTAACATTTTATCAATTTCAACTATTTGAAAACATGGTTATGTGTCTTTTGGTGGGCTTTTCTGAAATTCAACCAGCAGAAAAGGGCAAAATGTTTTTAAAAAATCATCTTTTAGGTGCACGTTGATTTTTTGATAAATATCATACGGATGCAGTTGGCATACGGATGCATCCGTAGCTGTAGAGGTAAGGTAATATAATTTTGATGTAAAATGTTATTAGAATTATCTCAAAATCTATTTTTATATCTAATTATAAAATTTTAAATTTAAAAAATGGTTAAAATCAAGTAGATCTATAAACATATGAAAATCTTGAAAATGGACGGTGTAGATAATAAGTTGTAAAATACATTATTTTGAGAATTAAAATCTTTTTATTTTCGTGGTCATACATCTCGTTGTCAAGATGATAAATCAAAGGGTTTTTTATCATGTGGCGCGACTCTATTACCAAAGAGCTCCATGCTACTAAGCTTGAGGTCAAACTAAGCTCGCAAATTGTTGGCCAAATTTCCCCGAAAAGGGAGCACGCAATAATAAAGTGTCTGGAAAAGCTGTGTGTGTGCTCCTTTTGCAGGCTTGATAGTAATCATGAGTCATGAATGCCTCATTTTGTTGGGCTTTTTAAACATTAAAAGCACTCGGACCTGCCTCCTCATACGCATTTCCTACCAACCACCCCACTTTTATTGTTCAGGCGTACATCATAATGTTGTTGGGACGGCATAAATCTTGTAATATGCATCTGTGGCTGTCCATTCTACATGCAACTTGCATCTAGATTGTGGAGGCTCTGGTGATTATGGGGTGGGTCCATGTAGGTACGTTTGCATGGGAGATGGACGGTCGCAAGTGCATCTCATCTCCATGCTGCGTCACTGTCAAAGCCTCACCTTTTAGTTAAAATGCTCTCTCTCTCTCTCTCTCTCTCTCTCTCGTAAGAGAGCTGAAACACCCATTGCCACTCTCAAAATGATCCCTCGATGCCAATGCACAAATAATGTTTATTGAATTTCATGATGCTACTACCTCTTATCATTGCCACCAAAATGGTCCACTCACAAAACGGCAAAGCTATTAATCATACCCCATTACTAAAACTCTATAGTTTCCCTATGGAACACAGAAAAAACAAAAGAAACGAGAGGACGGGATAAAAGATACTAGGTGTTTGTAAATATCATTAAGCCACAATTGTAAAGGAGGAGAAATAGGGTTTTAGGAGATAAGAGAGATCCCTTGCGCCATGATACTATCAGCTAAGACTTGGTTAGCTGCCTCAGAGGGGTGGAAACTATCCCAAAACACATATCCAGTGGCATTTGAACAGGTGCCTGGTGATCTTGCATTGCATAGTAAAGATGTCTCTATGGTCCCTGTTCCACAACATGCCCTCCTTGCCTCGAAGAATCCTGAGAAGATGAAACATTTCATTTTTTTTTTAATTTTTTTTATTTTTCTTTAAAATGGATAGATTATAGAGAAGTTGGAAATATTTAGAACTTCGAATTTGTTCATGGTCAGTTTCTCTTTTTTTTTTTTAATGGAATTATGATATGGGGTTTGACTTGAGATGTTTAAAATCCAAATCTCCTTTTCTCTAATCTTTTTGGAATGATTAAAAGCAGGCACTAGACACTAAAAGAGAATAGAAGATTAAGAATTTCCATTTTTGGAATTTATATTACTTATCTCTGGTTGTAGAGAGATCTCCACCATCCATTAATTTGGAAAGACTATCATAAATGATGAGGAAAGGGACCTTCCCCCCTGGATCCAACGTTGGAACCAGTTCCTAGTCTTGTCCATTCAAGAAGCAACACTACCCCAAAGTTGTTTATTACCCCTGGAAAAGGATTTCTACGAAAACAAAAACATTTCTCCTCAGGGATCGAGGATATGTCGCTGCACCTTCCACCCTTATAAATGAGGAATAAATGCCTGCCTTGACCAAATAGCACAAATGTTTCCTTAAACGCAATGTACCTAAAGTAATAATATGCAATGACAGAAATAGATGTGCCAAATGCAAAACCATAGCTTAGCTATCAAGAACGGATCCTACTTAGCGGGTTCGACCAGTGAGACCTTAGGCCAGTTTGGTCTGAAGTAAAAAATCTAGTTTGGTGAAAAATTAAGCAAAGTCTATTACTTGTCTACCTTTGATAGGTCGGACAGCTTGATTTTGACTTATTTTGATCGGTTAAACAAATTTATATTTTAAATTATTATTTTAAATTTTTTTAAAAAAATCATGTCTCACCTGTTAGACGAACAGGTAATCAAAATAGATGTTCAAGCTAGACTTCAATCCTTGCTTTTCAAATCAAAATGTAAAAAATTTAATACAAGGGTTCTTAAGAGATCTCATTGAAGGTTTGTGAATTTTCACAAAAGTTTTTGAATAGGAAATGCAAAAAAACTTACCACTATTGGTAGGATTCTTGGCAAGATCATAAAGAGGCTTGTAAATGTCGAAAATGACCATCTTAAGGCCAGGGAGCTTCTTTAACAAAGCTTGGGCAGCTGAATTAAGCTTCCTATTGAAAGCAAGTGCATCAGTGTTGAGCCTTCCAACGCATTGATTGCTCCCCATGCCAAATAGGGTTATTGAGGCAGGCAGGCACCCTACTGGGGGCAGAGATGTAGTCCCTATTCTCTTCGCCCCTAAGCTGTATATTTCCTGCCATAAATTTAACATAACATGACGGGGTCCACAAAAGTTATGTTGCTTAATTAGAAAACATAAGATAGGATTTGTGTTCTGATAATTCTATTAAGAATATAATCTACTATATGGGCCCTATTGAAATTTATTGAAGCCAAAAGTGTTAGGTGTTTGGCCAAGAGAGTGGCACATGAGGCCCCTATTCGTAATGAGTTTATGAGAAGATACTATTGACTAGACCAACCTCAATGAAATTTGTGAAAGTGATCTAATTTTTTTATTTATGCAACATAGTGGAAATAAATTTGAGTGAAGTTTGCATAATTCATCAACTTTAATCGATCAAAATAAGGTGTGCCTCTAAAGTCTGGCTGAAAGATGTGGTTCAGGTGTTGAGAAGCCTTGCAATGGCAAACAAATTTATAGTTTACACTAATTATCAAATTTAAAGCTCCACAAATTGTATAGATCGAATAGATTTTTAATTAATAATTTTTTTGAAAATAGGTGGTCTGGATTAGGCATTACAATATATACTTTTTTTATGACCTGTGTTCTATATCGATACATGTTGAGGTCAAGACGGTCAATTTGATGGTTTTCTAGCATCGAAACACCCTTTTTCAATGTTTTTGAGGTGTACCTTACTTCAATACTACAAGGTTGAACCTTATATAAATCTGTTCTAATAAATTTTATAACAATATATTGTATAGCCATTATTTTTAGTTTTGGGTGCAAGAATTTTGAAACCGAAAGAAACTTGTGTGAAAAACTAGGCTCCTATTTAAATAGTATGGGGAAAAGATAATATAAGCTGTAACCTGGTTAACTTAGATTGAATTCGAAACTAATTGGACGTTTGGTGTTCTTGTTTGTTTGTTTATAAATAGACCTAAAACTTTTAGGATATGTGTACTTGACCAAGGAACTGTAGAAAATTATAATATGATTGAAGCCATAAACAAAATGTCATATATAATGAATGCTAGCCAGAGAATTCAACGAGATCAGGTCAGGAGGGTCACAAAATATTTTTTAATAGTATATAAGGCCCCAAATACTATGTTGCATTAAGAAAAAAACGGTTTCAATGCGGGCAGCCCGCATATTGTTAAAATGCGAGCTTGGCAATAAATATATTTTTTAAATATAATTTGATCTTAATTTTTAGAGAATATATAATATTTAATATGGAGATCATATAGTTGAAAATCAGATATAATGATTATATTAAAAAAACATTTGGAGCAGCTAGTTACAAACTTACAATTGTTTTCAGATGGACCGCTTATTTGCATGCATCGTGAAGAAGATTGCTTTATACTTGTGAATTCCGAAAAAAAGGGCAAAGCTAAAAGATGTATGTTGAGGGAAATATAAAAAGGCCAAATAAAAGGTTTAGCTAAAAGACGTATGTTGAGTGAAATATGCTAGAGATTGGATGGACCTGTACAAAATTTGTGAAGGACTGAATGAGAATATCGGAGAACTGATCTGGGTTGTAGGCTCGGTTGACTACAGGATTAATATAGTAATTTTGCACAAAGTCGCTGCTGCCTGTGCTAAGAACATAGAGAGCATCTGAGAATATGGTTTCAGCCTTTGCCTTCCCCACCATCTTAATCACCTTTGACTGGTACTCCTTGTAATACTGCATTTGCTTTGATAATGGAATTGCATGCTACATAATAGAGAGTGAGAGATTAAAATATCAACAAAACTAACATGTTTAGTGAGAGAGAGTAGAATATCAAAAAACAGTAACACATTTGCAGTAGACTATTAACCACAATAACATGTAGAGAGACAGATTAGAATTAGAACATCAACTTTAGAGATAGAGAGAGATTAAAACATCAACTTTAGAGAGAGAGAGAGTAGGACATCAACTTCCATGAGAGGGAGAGAGAGAGCATGTTTTTAAGAGTACTTACATAGAGCTGTGCAGTCCTGTCGTAGTAACCGGAAGCAGCAGAGGCGAAGTTCGCACCGATGAGGAAGTTTTTTGGAGCAGGTTGAGAACCAAGATATGGAGGTGGGTATGAAGTAAAACCCAATGTATCGGCTGTAAACAGCAAGAAAATAAGCCCATAATCACAACTCATACGTTTACCCTATAAACACTCAAATATATATATATATATATAGAGAGAGAGAGACCAGTGATATCTGTGGCGAGCTTGCCATTACAGAACCTCCCAGTAGGAGAATGGTCGACAAAGTCGCGGCCATAAGGGGGGAAATTGGCCTTCACGAGAGTGTAGAGACCATTGTTATTCCCACAATCAGCAGTTGAGTCTCCAAATATCATCATAGCTGGCACCAATGGCTGGCCATGCCCCAAAGAGAGCCCCCAAAATATGAAACCCACCAGTCCTATGAACCACTCCATCTCTCTCTAAAACTAACTCTCAAGACTGGCTTCTGATAATTAACAAGTGTGAATAAGTACCACCTCTCTCTCTCTAGATGGCTAGGTGTTGGAAGGTGGAGGTGTGCTCTGGGCGGGGGCAGATGGGGGTGCATTTAAGGACGAGAGTTGGGGTTTCTATGCGGTTAAAGGCTCCATAACTGTGGAGACTGATGGCCCTTGAAACCTGCAAATTTTCAGCTAAACAACGTGTTCTGCACCTCTTAAAAGTTTAGGGCTTCGGGTCGAAACCGTTCTCATGACCTAAAAGCGTGTGGTGGTTCGGGAACATCACCTGAAAAAAGAGCTGAATTTCAGAGAGAGAGAGAGAGAGAGAGAGAGAGAGAGAGGTAGGTTGGTTGTGTAGTCGACGTCGTGTAGTACGTAGTAGGTAGGTGGTCGTTGTTAGTAGTAAGGTAAAAGTAAAGTGTAGTAACGTAAAGTAA